TATATTCGTGGTTATCATAGACCATGCTGCATGGACAGCACTTTCATTTCGACGCTGAGGTGCTAATTGATTCTTACTCCACATATGACTCTGCATCTGCCGTTATGTTCTTTAGCGGCTTATCCAAAATATGGAAAGACTTGAAAACAAAGTCTGGCAGTCTAACTTAACTGGAGTCTGTTCAAGCTGCGGCTATGGCTGTGGCGTGTGTCTGCAATTTTGCAACCAATTAGAAAGCTATTTATTAACAGCAATTTAATTATGAACTTGTGCTTCGAAAATAAAGAGCAAGTATTTACTATATAAGTTCAATCCGGTTTTATATAGCAGTTACAAGTAGTTTATAAGTTTCGACTTTTTTCCTCACTTTGTTAAGTTTAAAAATATTACAATTTTTTATTACAACATTTTAAGCTATATCTAGACAATACATCAATTAGCTATTTCCCGGTACATAAAACAAATTTTAATTAAACTATTCTATATTAGCTCTAGCGTCTAATAAATATAGAGGAAATACAAAATTATCTCTAGATAATTTAATATAATTATTTACACATATAACGATATTTATTTATTTAAAAAAATTTTTGTTTGTAACAGAATTATATTACATTTTTAGATATCACTTTAAAAAATGTACACATATATATTTTCGATTATAATGCATAGTAATAATACTAACCCAAAATATCCAATATTTCTAATAAAAGTCGTGTACTTAGTAAAACCAAAAAGAAGGTGCTAATCAATATGAATACCACTTGCCTCAATTCATAATAGACCAACGCTTAAGGGGCCTCAGATCAAAACTCTAAAACCCAAATTAAAACATATGTAGATTGAAATAAAGCCATGGCGCATATGTCAACCAGAGCCTACGGATGTGGGTCAATACATCGTTCCAGCTAGGGCGTGCCAGAGGCGATTAACACCCAGTCAGGCGTGCAATACGATTGTTGATTCAGTTCATTCTCAGATCGAAAGAAAAATGTGGTCCATAGTATATGTGAAAAGGGGAACAGGAACGGGAACTGAACAAGTTCTACAAATTTTTCTTTTCTTAAGCAAAACTTTTACTTATTTACACACACGCATATACATACAAGTTGTCTTTTGTTTTTTATTTACCAGAAATGTTCGTATATTCCATATAATAATTGCAAGTCTTTCAAATGTTAGTACATAAGTTTTGTTTGTCAGTGAAACAAGGAACAATAAAATCGAACGTTTTAAAAACTAACATAAAAGAGTCACGAAATGTTAAACAATAATACTTAAATTATAAAATGATAATTCACATGTCGAACATAATATTATATTAAAAGCAAACGTCTGCGGTAATGGGATAAAGAAGTATTTATGTACAGATGCTTGGCACATCCTACTCCAAGCTGGCGTTTAAAATGGCGAATTCATGCCCAGCTTGGTGCCAAAATCAAGACGCGCCCGACGCTGATAGCGCGCATTAACTCTGCAAAGGAAAAAGGATTGTTTAGCATTAGAATTAATACATCTATGAATATTTAGTTGGACTCACTTGTTCTCCTGCAACTTGGCCATTTCGCTGACAATGAGACTCAGCAAGCTGCTGCCAAAGAGCACGAGCAGCGGTATCCACAGCTGTGCCAAAAGCCCCTCCAGCGTCTCATCCAGCAGCATTTGCAGCCCACAGATTAGACCGTGCAGCAGCAGCACCGCCAAGCAGGTGAATGCCCAAATGTGATTCCTCAATGGACTGCGCTGCCAGAGCGCATGATCACGATGCACAAACGACAGAGAGACGAGAACTGGAAGGAGAGGGCATTGATTAAACAGCTTGTATGTTAACAAAAAGCAATGACTAAAACTGGTTCTACATAATATGACAATGTTTATCTAATCTATAAAAATATAAATACTGCGGTCGTACGAGCTTATCTTTATGTTTAATATATATATGTGATTTAGATAAACCGAAACAATTATAAGCCGAAATTCGGCTTATCATAAGAAGGCTAGCATATAGATAATATTTGTCATTTAGTATTAATATGACGTTACATTTATAGATATTGATACAAGGTCACGCTGAACTTGAGTAGAAGTAAATTAAAGTCTCTATATGTTAAGTTTTATAAGTAATTCTGAGCTCTTTCGGCAAACTAACTAAATATGGTCGCAGTCTATCTAATGCATGGCTTAAATTTAATTACCAAAATGCAGGAGAACCGCAAACAAAGCACAACTGCGCGCTATATAGAGACATTGATAAAATTCCACCTCAAGCTCAAAATCCTCCACCTCGTCGGAGCCAGCCTCTTCCTCGCGATTGGCCAACGTTTGCGTCATGCACATCCAATAGCCAATGAGCTGCAAGAAAGTAGCTTTAATGCGGGACAATTGATAAAGTTAAGCGCTGCACACACCACGGCAACAACGGGTACTAGGAATTTACAGCCGTAGCACCACATGACGAAGGCAAAGGCACGCGAATCATACTCGGTTTGCTTCTTGCTGGTGGCACGATTCATAATCTTGGGA